ATGCACAAAAATGACATAGGTTGAAAATGAAAGGATAGAAACTAGTACTACATGCAACTATTAGCACAAAAGCAAGCAGGAGTAACTATTCTCATTTCAGACAAAGTGGACCTCATGCCAAAAGTGATCAGAGTGGGGCTGGGGATTTAGCTCAGTGGCAAAAGCGCCTGCCTGGCAAGCGCAAGGTCATGAGTTCGGTTCCTGGTACCAGAGAAAAACAAAAAAAAATAAAAGTGATCAGAAAAGATAAGGTCACTATATATTGGTTAAAGGAGCAATTCAACAGGAAGATGTAACAGTAATAAATATATTGCACCAAATGTCAGTTCACCAGTTTCATAAAAATACTGGACATAAAAGTACACAGATACCAATAAACTCATAGTGGGAGACTTCAGTACCCACTCTCACAAGGAGGTCAACCAGAAAAGAAAATAAATAACAGAGTTGAATCATACCTCAAATGAGTGTAACCAATAACTACAGAGTATTTGATCCAAAAATAACAGAGGACACATTTTTTTCTACAGAACATGGAACTTTATCCAAAATAGAACATACCTTAGACCATGAAGCTTGCTTAAATAAATATAAAATAATTGAAATAATCTCTTACATATGATTAGATCACAGCAGAATGAAAATAGAAATTGACATCAGTTGAAACTGAAGAAACTGTGCCAACAGGGAGATTAATAGTACACTCATAATCATTGGGTCACAGAAGACATCAGGAAAGAATTGAAAAAGTTTCTAGACTCATAGCAATGGCAGTATAACATACCGTTAAAAAGTGTTAAAGGGAAATTTATAGCTGTGAATACCTATTAAAAAAACAGGACAACTCCAAATAAATAACCTAATGATTCATCTCAAAGTCGTAGAAAAATAAGAGTCAGAATGGAAATTCATGAAATTGAAACTGAAATACATTACAAAGCATCCGTGAATCAAACCTTAGCCAAACACCAAAAGAAGGAAAGAATGAACTCCGTGAAGTTAGAAAGGGGAAATCACAGTGGGCATCACCAAACCTCAGAGCACTATATGAAACTGTTTCAAAATCTTATATTCCAGTAAATTGGAGAACCTGAAAGAAATGAGTGTATTTCTAGACACATATGAGTTACCAAGGTTGAACAAGGAAGATAGTAAAACACTGAATGGACCAATTACAGGGAATTAAATAAAGACAGTAATAAAAACCCACCAAGTAAGAAGTGCCCAGGACCCAATGAATTTGCCACTGAATTTTGCTAGAACACCAGAGAACTGACATCACTACTTCTCAAACTCAATGAAATTGAAAAGGAAAAACTACTGGCAAACTCATTCCTGGAAACCGGTCTTACCCTACTACCAAAATCAAGCAAGGACTCAACAAAAAAAAGGAAAGAGCAGGCCAAGTTCCTCAAAGAACATAGATGAAAACACCCTCGAGATACTTCAGCCAGATGTGGTGGCACATGCCTGTAACCCCAGCACTCTGGAGGCTGAGGCAGGAGAATCGCTGTGAGTGAGGCCAGTGTGGACTGCATAGTGAAACCCTGTCTCAAGAAAAAAAAAAACTTGAAAAAAAATGTAAGAAATGATTAAAAAGATCAAACATCACAACCAAGTCAGTTTATCCGAGTAGTGCCAGTATGGTTCAGTATATGTAAATTAATAAATATGCCACATAAACAGAAGAAATCACATGACCATCTCAGGTGCAGAAAGAGGTTTTAACAAAAATCCAACATCTATTTATAATATCCCCGACAGAAATTGGTACAGAAAGACCTTACCTCCAACTGATAAAACCCATATATGACAAATTCACTATCAACATCATACTAAATGGGGAAAAACTGAAAGCATTGTCTAAAATCAGGAACAAGACAAGGGTATCTCATGTAACCATTGCTGTTCAACATTTGGTACTTTAGACAGAGCAATCAGAAAAGGAAATAGAGATACAATAGGAAAGAAGTCAAACTTATTTGTAGATGACATGTTCCTTTATATAGAGGACCCCCTAATAAAAACCCACAAGAATCTTAGAATTAGTAAACAGATTGAGCAAGGTGGCAGGATACAAAATACACAAAATCAGTTGTTTTCCTCTATACCAACAATGAGTCTACCAGGAAAGAAATCAGGAAAACGGTCTCATTCACAATAGCTTTAAGGAAAAAAACAAACAAACAAACAAACAAAAAAAACCCTAGCTATTAATTTAACCATGGAAATGAAAGCCTTCTCTGTAACAAAAACTGTAGTACTCTGCAAAAAATATATTGAAGAGGCCATCAGAAAATAGAACCAATGCCTTGCTCCTGGGTAGGCAGAACCAGTATTGTGAAAGTGGGCATATTTTTTATATAGATTTAATGTAGTTCATACCAAAATACCAATGGCATTCTTCACAGAACTATGCAAAACAACCCAGTATTAGAAGACTCCTAGAATAGCTAAAGCATCCTGGGTGTTCCAGAATTGCTAACATAATTTGAACACCAGCAGAACACGAGGTGTCACAGTCCTAGGCCTTAAGATATATTACAAACCTACAGGGATATAATAAGCATGGTACCAGGATAGAGAGTGACATACGGATCCATGGAGGATGAAGATGCAGAAACAACCGAGACAGCCATTTGATTTTCAGCAAAGGAGCCAAAAACACACACCAGAGAAAGTGCAGCTGTTTTTAACAAGTGCTGTGGGAAAATGGTTATCCACGTGAATAAATCTAGAAGAATAACTCTAGACTCCCTTCCCTCACCCTATAGTAAAATCAAATCCAAATAGGCCAAGGCCTAAAAATAAAAACAAAAACACTGAATCTGCTGGCAGACAAAATTCTTGAACATACAGGCATAGGCAAGGATTTTATGAACAGAGCGCTGTTTGCTCAAGAAATAACAGCAAGAGAGTTATATCACATTCAAAAACTCACAGCAAAGGCAACAACAGAATGAAGAGACAACCTACAGAATGGGGACATTCTTTGTTTTGCCAGATACTCTTTGAACAGAAGACTAATATCAAAATTATATAAAGAACTAAGATAAAATTAGCCCTTCCAAAGTAAAATACATAGTTAAGGGCTGGGAATATAGCTCAATGGCACAAGCACCTGCCTGCCAAATGCAAGGTCCTGAGTTCGATTCCCAGTACAAAAAAAAAAAATGCATAGTCAAAAATGGGCAGTTGAAATAGACTTTTCTTTGAAGAAATACAAATGGCCAACAAATATATGAAAAAAAATTGAGCACCTTTGGTAGCTATCCAATTTCAAGTCAGAACAACACTGAAATTCCACCTTATTCCAAAAAAAATGGCTATCATCAAGAACTCAAAAAACAACAAATGCTGGTGAAGTTATAAGGAAAGGGGAATCTTCTGTATTGTTGGTGAATGTAAACTAGTGTAACTATTACAGAAAAAATCAGTATGCAGATTCCTCAAAAAACTAAAAATAGAAATTCCATTTGACCCAGTGAGGTAAAACCTCTGGGGTCGAGGGACCTGGGCCCGTGGTAAGCAGCGACGGTGAACAAAGAGGACACGGGAGATCAGGCTGAATGGCGCAGATCCACTTTATTGCGGAAGTACCAGGCGTTTTATTGAGCAGGCTAGAGGTGTGGCAATGGAGGCGGGCTAGGGGCGTGGTTTGGAGGCGGTACTTTTGGCCGGGGGCTGTGTGGAAGTAAGAGGTCACAGCCTAGGCAGGGCGACTCACTCGGTGTGCTGAGGACGTGACGAGTACGAGTTTGCTCAGACCCGCTCCTCTGCCACGGCCGTCAACCAGACCTCTGGACTCCTTTTTCCCACAACCCAGCTGTACCTCTTCTAGCTCTCTTGCGAAAGAATAAAGTCCATATCACAGTGATACATGCATACCCATGTTTATAGCAGTGCAACTCATAATAATTACACTTTCAGTTTCTCACACCAGAGAGACAATGCCATATTTACACATTTTTGTCCAGTTTGTTTCACTTAAGAGTATGGTCTCAAGGACCATCCACATTTTCTCTAGTTTGTCCTTTTTATGACTGAGTACTATTGCAGTTTAAAAAACAGCCACATCTTTTTTATCCATTCATCATGGGTATTTGGGTTATTTCCAAGATTTAGTAGCTATTACAAACTGTGCTGCTATAAACTAGTACCTAGAACATATATAAAGTATGAAAAAATCAAGTCCCCCAAATTTTAAAGACCCAATCCAAAAATGGCCATCTGAGATGAATACACACTTCCCAGATGAAGAAGTAGAAAAGGCAAATAAATATATGAAAAAGTGTTCAACATCACTGCCCATTAGAGAGATGCAAATTAAAAGAACACTGAGATTCTATCTCGTTTGAGAAAGAGTGGCTATTATGAAGAAATCAACAACATGCTGGTAGGGATGTGGGGTAAAAAGAACCCTTCTCCACTTTTGGTGCAAGTGTAGACTGGTGCAACCACTGTGGAAATCAGTTTGGAGACTCCTCAAAAAATTAGGACTAGAGGTTCCATTTCACCTAGCTATCCCTCTTGTTGGTATCTTCCTGAATGAATTAAAAGCATCATACCATAGCAGTATATGCACACACACGTTGATTTAAAATTTCAAAGGATCCTCTGGGTTCTTGGATGACCAATAGTGTGGGTAGATGTAGTTAGATCAGTTCTTTGAATTTCACATAGGACCAACAGCCTCAGACCGAAATGTTCAACTATATTAATATCAAAGTGGTTGATCCCTGGGCTTTTCTCCAGGCAGTAAGATATTGCCTCATACTTTCTCATTTTGTACCTAATTCTGTATCAGTAACGCAAATGTTTGCATCTCTTGGTATCAGTTTGTCATTCAGCCAGTTTTCTAATCAGCATTTTTCCATTTGTTCATAATTAAGGTAATAAAAAGACAGTACAGTGCTTCATGTATTGAAACTGCTTTTTGAAGTAGTGTTTTTGTGTGTTGGCATTTTTTTTATCAATTTAAAGATACATTTTTGTTATAGGGGCCAAGTTCAAAAAATATTTTGGCCACTCAGCTCATGTAACTAATGTCAGATGGTCACATGATTATCAGTGGGTCATTTCTATTGGTGGAGCAGATCACTCTGTCTTTCAGTGGAAATTTATTCCTGAAAGAAAACTAAAAGATGCGCTTCACATAGCACCCCAAGGTGAGTAGTATGCACCACTTAAATCAGGTAACTCTTCAGCAGTTCCAAAATAAGAGTTTTATAATTGAAGGGTAACTTCAGAAATTAACAGTGTAGTTTGTTATTAGCAGACATGTCTAATTGATTAGGTCCATCTCTTTGAAGTCAGATGTTACAGAGTAGAATACAAAGTACTTTTGGTTGCAGTTTAATGTGGTAGATTGCAGTTTAATCTGAAAGATAATCAAATGGTGAGTGAAGAACTAGTTACATTAGCAAAACAAATATGTAATGTATCCTCTGGGAGATGGGTATCTAGATTTCATCTATGTTTTTTAACAAAAATTATCTAATGTCAATTTATTTGTTACGTATAGTACTTTTTAGCTATTTTCATGTTAATTGTAGATTATATTCACTTATATTTGCACAGACATTTAAATTTGATGTAGCAGTCATTGGGGAGCCAGTGAAGGGACTTAAAGGAGCTATTGAGTGCAGTGAGTGGAGAGGAAGATTATCTGTAGTACAGTTTACTGACATCTGTGTCACTTGAATAGGTAATTTCATTTGATTGTTTTATGGCTTGTCTCCATGTCAGCTGAAATATTCAGCTCTTAATCATTAATTTCACAGTGTGGTTTGAAAAATGAATCTTAGCTAAACAAATGGTATCGCATTTTTTAAAATTACAGAAAGTCTGGCTGACTCCAACAGTGATGAATCAGATTCAGATATGTCTGATGTTCCAGAACTGGATTCTGAAATTGAACAAGAGACACAGCTCACCTACCATCGGCAGGTAATTATCACACAATTTTTCCCTGAAAAGTTTACTTTCTTCATCTTGCTCCCTGCCCTTATCTACTGTATCTTTTGTGTCTTTATTCCAAAGCAGTACCTTTCTTTGACTCTTACCCCTTTAACATTAAAGCACATCTGTATAAAGTGTTCTTTTATGTTTCATATACAAAGTATGTTTGTATTGTTTTGTCTGTAGATTTCTGTTACACTATATACCCATTTATTTTCTGTGAAAGATTCTGTTATGAAATATAAAGATTCCTTGGAACACTAAGTGCATTTATCACTGTAATACAAGGAATAATTGAGTTTATTTTTTCAAAAAAGTTTTGGTAATGTACCTTCTTAATGAAAATATCTGCTACACCTGATTGACAGAACACCTTTGCTGATACACTTTCTAACAATATTCCTGCTTACATTTTTTAAAGGTTTACAAAGAAGATCTACCTCAGCTTAAAGAACAATGCAAAGAGAAACAAAAAAGTGCTACTTCTAAAAGAAGAGAACGGGCTCCAGGAAATAGTATTCGATTACACTTTGTTCACGGGTATAAAATAGCTGTCTTTCATTTATGTGTTTGGATTTTGGTTTACATTTCCTGGCTGTGTGACTTGGAACAAGTCACTGTCTCTCTGTGCTTCTGTTTCCCCATCTTTAAAATGGAGATAACGGTATCTACCTCAGAAAGTTCTCGTTAGGAGTAAGTAAGGCAGTGTTAGTGGTGACCTATAACATTGTCTGGCACACAAATGAGCACTATATAAATGTTTTTTAAATAAAAATAAATTTGTCGGGCCAGGCATATAGCTCAGTGGCATAAGCACCTGCCTGGCAAGCAAAACATCCTGAGTTCAATTTCTGGTAAAAAAAAAAAAAAAAAAAAAAAAATTTGTCGTAGAAAAGTATGCTATTTATGGAAATGGACATTTTGTCTTTTTGAAAATGTAAAAGGTAATCATTTCCCCCTAATGTGTCAGTTTGCAATGATATGAATTGTTTTTGCCTGAACATTTTGGATTTTATGTTCTAATTTCAGGAAAATACAGTTTCTGGATTATTGTAGACTGTCTCGCAATACACGTTTCACAATTCAGCTTGGCATCAACAGGCTCTCCATTTGGGCTCTTTTATCTCTCCCTTAGCACTCACTTTTTTACCAGGTGGATAAAACTTTCCAGGAAGCTGAAGAAAGATTTATTTATTGAGAGTATTTTCTGTCTATTTAGTTCTATTTAAGGCAACTGTTTTTCTTTCATAGTATGCAGATTTAATATTATATTTATGCAAATAGTAGTATAGTAGCTATCAACTACTGATATATATATACTACAATGGTTAGGGTCAGTGTTGACCTTAAGAGGAAGTTTGATTCAGTTCTTGTCCAACTCAGTTTGTGACCGGAAATGTGGAAAGAATCAATTTGTGAACCAAGGTACCACTGTACCTTGATTTTTTTTCACTCAGTGTTATGGCTTGAATTTAGTTATTGGTAATAAAAAACAGCTCATAAAAATTATAGGAATTAAAATTAGTGTTTTCTTTTAATTGTTTAGTATCCCTTAAAATGGCAGTGGACTCAAAAAGTGTATACTTCTCTGTATATTTCTGTCTTAGTCAAAAAAGACGAAGATTAATTGTATGTGATTTGTTTTCTATGTTAGTTACAGAGGTTATGACTGTCGAAGTAATCTGTTCTATACTCAAATTGGTGAAATTGTGTACCACGTGGCAGCAGTCGGTGTCATTTATAATCGGCAACAGAACACACAGCGTTTTTACTTGGGTCACGATGACGATATTCTCTGTCTGGCTATTCATCCTTTGAAAGACTATGTGGCAACAGGCCAGGTAAGTTCTTTCTCTTTTTCCTTTTTTTGGAACCAGGACTCAAACTCAGGACCTCACACTTGCCAATCAGGCCCCATGCTGCTGAGCTATATTCCCAGCCCCAGGTAAGTTCCTTTAAAAGGTTATGTGACAGTAAGCTCGGTAGATTCCATCTTTGAGTATCATGTTACCTTAGCCCTAGGAAAACGTAGAGTTATCCTGAATGGTATTTTATTTTCCTATTATAAATAAAGTTGACCCCATTTTGTTTCCTACAGCTTTCCTTATAGTTTTATTGTTTTAATTATATTTTAATTTGAAATTAAGAGATTTGGCTTGTTTTCTTTCATAAAGATATATACTTTTTATAATGTGTGAGTAAAATTCATTGAAAACATAAAGCTTAGAAATCTTTTCTTGAGGTTCCTAAAATAGTATAGTTTTTTTAGCAAATACTCTACCATGTTTTATATTTTGCAGTCATCGTGTCCAATAGTTCAGTGTGAACATACTGATACAGCACTGAGCAGCAGCCACTGCTGCAGCTGTTTCTTCTTTCTTTCTTTCTTTCTTTCTTTCTTTCTTTCTTTCTTTTTCTTTCTTCTCCTCCCTCCTCTTCCTTTCCCCTTTCTTCTCCTGTGCCTTCGTCCCTCCCATCCCCCCCTGCTCCTTCCCCTCCTCTACGTCCACTTCTCCTCCTCAGAATTGAACCAAGGGCCTTTGCACTGAGCTACCTTAGTAGGATTTGGGGAGGATTTGTTTTATTTAACCACTGAAACTATGAAAATTAGATACCTCCGGCAAAAAATGTAATGTAAGAGTAGCCTGAGAATTAAAGAGGGAATCTGGAGGAGGTTTGTAATTAAGTAATGTGAAGAAATTATGAAGGAAGCTCATAGTGAGAGGCAAGGAGACTACAGAACAAGTCAAAAGTGGCATTATAAAATCATCCACAGTGTCAAAACTTGCAGAAGTTGAATAAAAAAGAAAATTTAAAAGTCGTATTTAAATAAAACATGCTCTTGCTCCAAAGGAAATAAGAGTTTATCATGAACCAAATTTGAATGGCTGTGGCCCAGGAACACAGATTTGAGTTACCGTATGACATGTTCCACTGTGGAAGAGGCTCCATCAACTTTCATAGTCAAAAGAACAAAAGAAACTCATAAATCAGTGCATTTACCAAATACTGTACATTGGTGGTGGTCTGAGGTTGGTGGGCTACAGCAGAGCGCGGAAGTTCTTCCTTAGGTTTCAAATGCAAAATTTTTAGCTTTAGGGTGGGTAGAAGCTAGAACTCTGCTAAGGTTAATAGTACATTCCAAAATTTTACGTAGCGGTCATGACAATGTTAAGTCATATACCAAGGTTGGTAGCAAATGACTGTTAAAAGAGACTAATGATATGCAAAGTTAATCTTAGAGAAAGGGATTACTTGAATCTTGAGAAATAATAAGAATGGGTAGATTGCTTGTCCATAAGTAAATATCATAAGTCAGCTGTGTTATTCGGATTTCCATTGCTGTGATGCAGTACTTCAAATAAAGTTAAAGATGAAAAATTTTATTTTGACTCATGGTTTCAGAATCTTCAGTCCATGGTCACTTTGCCCCGTTGCCTTTGGGCCTGTGATGATGGTAGGGAATGTGTGGCAGAAGACTCACTTCCAGGTGACCAAGAGGCAGGAAAAGAGAGAAGAAAGTGCCCATGGTCCTAATATCCCCTTCAAGGGCATACTCTCAGTGGACTGATTTCCTCCCGTAGCCCCACCACCTACCTAAATACCCTAGACCAGTGTATAACCCTTTAATACATGGGGGAGAGCACGTTAGATCCAAACCATAGCACCATGCTAAAAGAAACTTACAGAGTACTGCACTGTTTATTTAGAGTTTCACTTAGTGCTTGGAGTTTTAGCACCTTCTCAAGTTTTCCTTACACTATTATCCTAGTCTATAATGTGTTTGTTTCTATTTATCTTAGTAGTGCATTAACATCCTTTCATGAAGTCTTTCATCTACAATCTTTTTATTTTCATTAAGTACATATTGCAAAGTATTTATTTAGTTGAAAATACTCTATTTTCCCAGGAATTTGCAAAAGTTATCTGCATACCTTAGCATTTATTGTGTCTAGCACAGAAATCCTGCAGTAATAGTGCTTAGTAAGCATTTATTATCTTGAGTGACGACATCTAGGATAAGATTTAGAAGTCACGTAGTTTTAGAATATTCCTAGAAATGTTGAGCCTACTGTCATTAGCTTTTGAACGAATGTGAAGAAAAATATCAGTCATGAATACAATCTGCTTTATTTTTTGGATAAATTTCTGTAGAAAATAAAGGCTGTAAAATCTCATTTTATTTCATTCTGACAGATATAAAAGATAATTTAGTTGTATAAAATGACTTTTAAAATTCTATTTCAGGTAGGGAGGGATCCCTCAATTCACATATGGGATACAGAGACCATTAAACCTTTGTCAATATTAAAGGGCTACCACCAATATGGTGTCTGTGCTGTTGATTTCTCAGGTAAGGCTATTTTCTGTCTCAATAAGAATGATCAAAATACAGAGGTAACATACAGCACTTTAAGTAAATCAGCTTTACCCAAACTTGTGATTTAGCTATGACCTTCATGATTTTTATTGAATGTGTATACTGTTAATCTAATAAAACAGTGATGAAAGTGTGGCTAGTTTATAATTATAATTTAATGACTATAATTTTAATGCCATTTAAAATTTGCATATTTCTATTAAAAGATGTTTTCAGCAAAACAGCTGAAATTATCTCAGGTGTATTAGTAATATATAACTTCCCTTTGGACAAATTTTGATTTCATTTAATGCTTTATACCTGCAAAGTAAACTTTGAGGAGTGCTTGTGGTAGAAATTTAAAAATGAAAGATGGGAAAACTGAAATATTTGTTTTAGACATTTCTATAAAATGACAATTTCAGGCCATCTTACAATTTCATATCGTGCTAGCATTTTGCTTTCTATCTAAAAGTTTAACAACTACGGGTAGGTCTGTCATGAAAGCTAGGGGGTTGGTTGGGAAGAGGGAAGGAAATACCAATAGTAGAGAATTCTGTATGAAGGAACATTAAATTCATGCTCTTTGAAGTGTTCTGAAGTGATGAGTTATTAGTATGATTTGGGAGAAATACGTACTTTCGAGAATACAGATGGCCAAGAAACAAAATGGATAGCAAGTGAAGTGAGGTAGCCATAAAAAGACTCCTAGTTTTAGAGCAACTAATTAAGCTTTGTGCAAACTGTGGCAGAGTGGAAAACAGTTTTTGTGGTCTGAGCTTCATGACCTGTAAATACACACACACCTGTCGGCATGCCTCAAGGAGTCATCTATATATTCATTACTTGTTGCTTGATAGTAGTAACAACTAGAATAACTGACCTTCACTGAAAGCAAGCTCAGTGACAGTATGTTGTTTTAACCTGCATGCTTTTCCTGTGATTGACTTTTTATAATCGATGGCTTCTTATGTCACAACAGAGCTCTTATGGTGAATTTAATTAAAGTAAATCTCTTCCTCTGCTTTAAATTTTTCTTTTCTCATTTATTCTGCACATATAATTTACCTACATAATTGACCCATAATGATTTTACTCATTTAATGGGATGTAGGGTGATGTTTTGATGTATGTATTATAAAATAGTCGATTTATGGTAGTAAGCATATTTATCACTTTATATGTTTATCATTGTCCCTCCCTTTCCTGTCCCAACCTGGTAAAGTAGACAGGGTCAGATGAGAGGACAGCAACTATGTTTACAGGATTCAAGAAACCATTGTTCCTCGCATCCTTATAAATCTGATTCTTTTTATGACTGTGTGCAATGCCTAACATTTATCACTATTTTTTAAAATTTTGGACCAAGGATATACTTCAGTGGCACAAGAGCCTGCCTGGCAAGTACAAGGGTACTGAGTTCAATTCCTGGTACAAAAAAAAAAATGAAAATTTTAAATACAGTGCTGTAGCATATTAGTTCATCTTTAATTTCTGTAATAGTATACCTCAAGCTGAGTACTTATTTGAAAATTAATTTATTCAGCTCACAGTTTGGGAAGGTGAAAAATGTTCAAGTCTCATGGCCCCATTGGTTCTGCCTCTGGTGACAGCTTCTTTGGCTGTGTCAGGACATGATGGATGGGTACCAGGAGGAGAGAGCATGTAAATGCCCGTTACCATGGAACTGGCTCTGAGAGACCAGCATCATTCCCGTCTGAGGGAAGAGACTTCATTGATCATAATCACCTTACATTAGGCCTTTTAAAAGTTCTGCTACCTCAATACTACCACACCAAAGATTCCAGCACCTGAAACTTGGGAGAAAAACCACATTCAAATGAGAATATGTGCCTTTAGAATATGTGCGGAATATCTTCTGTGTTGTGAATCTGAGTGGTCACAGTGCATCTCTGATTTCACAGCTGATGGGAAACGTTTGGCTTCCGCTGGAATAGATGATAGCCACACTATCGTGCTTTGGGACTGGAGGAAAGGAGAGAAACTTTCAATGGCAAGGTGTGGAAAAAACTTAATGTCAGAATGCTAGAATTCCTTAGGACTTAAAAGTTTTTTCATTAAAGCAATTTTGAAATGTTAATATGTAACTTTTTATTGCTGCCTTTTGTATTACTGTTGAATGACTAAATAATGTAATCATGGTAAAACATGAATGAGTACATCATTTCTTTATAGTTTTACCCCTTGTGGGCCCACTGTTTAAATAACTATATTATATAAATAACTGTATTATGACATTGGAAGTAACTGTTGTCTCAGTTGTCCACTTACAGAGTGAACTCTATATGCTAGCTATTGTATGGCAATTGGAGAGCATGCTAAATTGCTTATATTGTGTATTTAAGTGAAAAAGGGTACTTATCACAAAGAAGTTATAGGTTTTTTTGTTATACTTTTCATTTCTAAATTTTCTACAATGGGCACATACTATTTATATAATAAAAACTATTAATAGTGCTAGTCGTCAGGCTACTTTTTATATTTATTACTTAAAGTGAGATATTAAAGCATTTAAAATGTACATAAGTGCTTTTGCATACTGCATAGATTATGCCCAAGTAAATGGAACTTTATGGTTGGAAAGGCTGTATTAAATTGTAAGGAAAAAAAATAAATAAATAAATAAATTGTAAGGAAGATGGGCGTGGTGGCATATGCCTGTAATCCCAGCACTTGGAAGGCTGAGGCAGGAGGATTGCTGTGAGTGCAAGGCCAGCCTGGGCTACATAGTGAAACCCTGTTGCAAAAAAGATGTAAATAAATAAAAAATAAACTGTAAAGAAGTATTATAAATAATTTCTTTAACTCATTTATCCCACAAACGGTATCCCCTATGCACAGTATAGGGGCTGCTATATTAGAAATCCAGAAGTTCAGTTTTCATTGTTCCCCTCCTTTGAGAATCTGTTGAACAGAGCTAACATATAAGAATAATGATAAAAAATCAAATTATTTTTTTAAAAATTACATGATTTCACAACCCAAACCTAAGAGACAAGTGGGAAACAGATACTCAGTAAATGGTAGTATTCATGAAGCCATATGTTGCTTAGGATGTATTTATCTTCAGAACTAAAACATTTTGGCATTTATTTCAGAGGAAGTAAAGATAAGATTTTTGTTGTAAAGATGAACCCCTATGTGCCTGATAAACTAATTACAGCTGGAATTAAACACATGAAATTCTGGCGTAGAGCAGGTAAGGAAGTGTTTCCTTTTACTCCTTTGAAGTTTAAGACATTTAATGAAAGCACAATGTGGTGTCCTAGACCAGATCCTGGAACAGGCCAGGGACCTTGGTAGAAAAATTGGTGAAGTTTGGAGTTCAGTTAGTAGTTATAGGCAAAAAATGGCGATTTTTTTAGTTTTGACAAAGCAGTTATGGTAATATAAGGTGTTTACATTAGGGGAAACTGGATGGAAAGGTAAGGTATATCGGAACACTGCATTATCTTTGCATCCTTTCTGGAAATCTAAAATTCCTCAAAATAAGTTTATTTGTGATTTACTGTTGTCTTGGTACATTTTAAGCAAAGATTTATTTAAGTAGTATTCATATTCACAAAAGGATTTAGCATATAAAATTAATCAGTTGATGTCCACATTCCTTCTGTTAAGACATATTTTATAGTCTTAGTTTAAACTTACATAAAAATTCTTCGTATGCCATAAGGTGATACAGAAGGGAAATGCTCTGTTGTCATTTGTAATGGGAATGTACAAATGTATTACAAGTTTTTATTAAGGCTTTCTATGTGCATTTCGGCCTTTCTCACTGCCAGAGTTCTGATCCATAGAGTTCATCAGCCAAATGGGAAATAAGTACTTAAACTTTTAAAATCTAGGTATTGTTTGCCTGACCCTCTAAATGCATAGTTTTAGGTCAGTGGTGGTGAACCTATGGCACGTGTGCTTGAGCCTGCTGTTATTACTGAAACCTTAAAAGGTTCGCCATTACTGTTTTAGGTAAATTAAGTTAAAGAAGATGATTTAGTTCTGGAGCTAAAACAGAGTGTCTTGCTATCTATCCCAGAACTAGACTTTAGGAATTGCAAGTTATGAATTATTAGTCTCTCCCTAAGGTACTCAAACTCTATTCCATGGGGGTTACAGGTAAGAAAACACTCACAGATTTTGAACGCAGTGACAACATGTTCTTATGTACTGGGAACATATTGTGTGGTGTGCATCATGAAAGCTATCAATTTTCTAAGCCAGGTGTGGCAAAACTTCTTTGGTAAATGGTCAGATAGTAAATATTTCTTTCATACCAAAGAACAAAATAAAAAACATTACATAAATACTTACAGAAAAAAGAGAAAATTTACTTTTAGGGTAACTTGCAGTAGGGAATAGGCCTGGCAGACTGAAGTGGGAGGGAAACCATGGTTAGCTGCACTCAAGCCGTGTGTCCCAGCGATGTCCTTCAGGAAAGCCCAGCCTTCTGAAGCTGAGCAGCGAGCCAAAGAGGACAGCTACTGAGATTCCACTTAGGTGCATGGCACTTGCTACTAGCCGAGTCCCCGACTTGTAGCTGTTGATCAGGTCAGGCTCTGAGCAGCGGCTAGTTGCAGCACAAATCAGGGAGGCCAGCGCCAACAGGTGGCTCCAGTAGTGGCTGCAGGTTTCGGCCCACATTCACTTGTCGTTGGCCCTGTTCTCGATGGATAATCTATGCTGTGCTGAAGTGCATTCCTTCCACTTGCACTGTGTAGCCCAGGCTGGCCTGGAACTGGTGATCTTCCTGCCTCAGCCTTGCAAGTGCTAGGATTACAAGCATGCACCATCATGCTCGGAAAAAATCCTCTTTCAATTCTATCCTCCAGTTGCTGATCAGTTCCTCTTCTTACCTGTATACTAAAGCACTCCAAATAGTTACATTTTCTCTTTGCAGTTTCTCTTTCTTTCTCCTGAGAGAAGTCTAACCTGGTTTGTTTGTTTGTTTCCCCTCATCACTCTACCCAGTTGCTTTTGAAAGGTCACCATTAACTGCCTGCTGTGTTAAGATGATCTGCTGAATACATATGTAATCTGACAGCTTTCCATCTTCTGTGCTACCACCCTAGTTCCTTACCTCCTTTATCAGTTAGCCAGATGAGTAAAATCGACTTTTTCCATCTACCCCTTCCTTTAATCTATTTTTAATCAAGAAGTCAAAACGAACCTTTTAGTAAATCATATGCCAGATCTTGTTATTCTACTACTCAAGTGTTTTCTGTCCTGTGTAGAGCAAAATTGACATCCTTACAATGGTCTGCACGACAGCCTCTGACTTTGCTGACCCCATCTCTCAGTATTGTTTTTACTTTCTTTCTTACTCCATACCAGTCTCACTGGTTGTTTCTTAAAGATTTCAGTCACATTCCTGCATTGAGACCTTTGCACTTGCTGCTGCTTCTCATGGAAACATATTCTAACACGGTTTCCTCTTGTGACTCCTAAAATTTTCGGTTTAGACACCACCATCTTAAGGAGTTTGTCTTTAACCACCCTTCTTAGAATGGACTCCTCTCATTGTCTGTTCCCTTACATTTTTTCCAAAGCACTCACCATCACCTAACATACTGTACGTTTTACTTAGTTGTCATGTTAATTGACTGCCTTTTACTGTGAAACTCCATAACAGTGGAGGTTTTTATTGTTTTGCTTGTTTACAGCTCTATTCCCAGTGCCTTGAATAGTTTGTTGCATTTGTATTTTTTGAGTAAATGAATAAATTCACTTGGAAAAATGGGCAAAAGATAGTAATAAAATGAGCAATAAGAAAAATGATCAAATTCAATCTTACAGAAATGCAAATTAAAACCACAATAAAATTTAGCTGGTATTTCACATTTCCTAGTCTGACAGTCCCTAGTGTTCCTGAAAGTGGGAAATAACAGAAACTCTTTTCACTGCTAGGGGAATGTAAGTTGGTATGTCAACTTCGGAGAAGGATTTGGAAGGAAACATTGATACCGCTCTTATTTATATGCTGTTTCTTTTTCACATTATCCTATGACTATTCCTAGGCATTCCTTGAGAAATTCTTGTACTTTATAGCAGAGACACTTATAAAAATGTTGAAAAGAGTATTATCTTCAATAGAAAAATCTTAGAAACAACTCAAATACTCATTAATAAGAAGTGGATAAACTGTAAAATGTCTGTTGTGCTTTGTGAGACACAATCACCAACACTCACAGTTTAAAGGAAGAATGGTTTATTTTGGCTCACAGTGACAGCACACCGTCAGCTTGCTCTAAGGCAGAAACCCGCATGGCAGAGCAGCATGGATGCCATATCAGGGCAACTCGGATGCAGAGTGAGAGAGAGGGCCTGGGGACTTTCAGGTCAATTATTCTGTTACCCAGACACTGTCCCTTTAATGGCAACTCTAGAGCTCTCATAATCACCTTTTAAAAGCTCTGCCTATGAACTAATGAGGCCTTTGGGGGACATTTTTGATCTAAGCTATAACATTCTGCCTCTGCTCATGTGTATCTCTGTAGTGTAAAATGTATTTAGTTCATCTCTAAGTCACCAAAACCTTTAATAGTTTCAGCATTGAAAAGTCCAAATCTGAAGTCTCTTCTGAGACTAAAGGGAACCCCTTTAAGTGTGAGCCCCTGTTTAAAAAAAAAAGTGAAACACTGTCAGTGTATAATGGCACAGGGTAAACATTCCTACGTTAAAAGGGAAAAATAGGACAGAAAGGGACCAAAACAAGACAGAAACCCAGCAGAGCAAAAATCTTATAGCTGGATGTTCAGTACCTGGGATAAAGATATAAACTTTAAACAGCCCATACAGCATTGTCAATGTCTATAGCTATATATCTTTCTTTAAAAAATGTCTCAAATTCCTGACTTCTCCAACTTTCTGCAGTCTCTACTGTAGTTTTGGCTTTACATTCATAACTTTATGCACTCTCCTCTCAGGGATACACTGCCCCACCTCTTGGTCCTTTTTTTATCTTGGTGGAATTTACTCTGATCCTACAATTCTTGTATTTTGCATACCCATAAAGCCAGTACTATGTGGGTGATGCCAAGGTCTGTTGCTAGCTCAGGCAATAGCTAGGACCCCTTGGATTATGGCTGTAGTAGTCTCCGAGTGCCTGGATCACTGAGCACTGTGAAACAAATCTCAGGGAATGAGTTTACAAGCAGGGTTCCCTGCAAGTCTCTTTTCAAATGAAAGCTTTAAAGTACTGTACAAATGAGTTTGTGCTGGGTGGATTTTGCAGATTATTGGAATGCACTCAAGGCATCTTTCCTATTGTCCCAATGTAGTTTTTTGTGTATTTTCTTTGCTTCCTTTTAATGTTAATCTTTCTAGTAACCAAGTTCTCCTGTTCCGAAATTTTACAGGCCCCAACTTCTTAAGGACTTTCTTTTTAGGGAAACTCAAAACTCTTAAAATCAGTCAGCTGTGCTGTTTGTTCTTGATTCTCAATGCATTACTGGATAAAAGCACCCGGTAGTTCCTATGCCACACCTTGAACACTGGCCTGCTTTGAAATTTTCTCTACCAAATTAATTAGTCTGCTGCCCTTAATCTTAGTCTCCCAGAGTCTCAGGACATGTGTTAGAGGTACATTTTTTTTTTTGCCAAAGCATCACACACATGGTCTGGAGTTCAGCTGCCAATGGAGCCCTTACTCTCAACTGCAACCTCTGGAGCCCAGTCTTCACCATCTTCATTGTTATGAGCATCTTGGTCTTCTGAGCTCTAACCGGGGCATTCATCTGGTTCACTGTATAACATTCTAGGGCTTTCCTGTTATCTGTAAACTCCTGTGAATCTGTTCTAAAGGCTTTTGAACCGTGTGGTCAGGTAGTCACAGCAGTTACTGCACTCCTGGTACCAAAAACTTAGTCACTTCTTTTATCACTGAAACATAATACCCAATACCCACAGTGTAAAGGAAGTTTTTATTTTGTCTCATGGATGTAGTCCCTAGTTGGCCACGCCAAGGCAGAGAACAGCATGACAGAGGAGCATGGTGCAGGAAAGCTGCTCATACGGAAGCCAGGAAGCAGCAGGAAAAGGGAGCTGAGAAGGGAGATAATACCTTTCCAGGTTACACCCCCAGTGACCGGCATCTTATGACCAGACCCTGCTCTTAGCATCAGCTACAGCACCCTCATTATTTAATTACCTTTTAAATGCCCAGCCTGTGGGCACATGAAGCATTTCAGGAACATTCCTGATCTAGTCTATAACAGTAGATACAGTGCTACCTCCACTCACAAACTTAATTCTTTCTGTAATTCTAGTTGCAAACTGAATTGGACGAGGACCAATGCAGATTTCTCCATAAGGTCAACATTGAACTAACCTAGCCATTTAATTTGATTCATTTCTCATCCTACTCAGTTTGTGACCAGAACTGTGGAAAGAATTAAGTTCGTGAACCAAGGTAGCACTGTATAAGGGAATGACACATAGTTATTAAAACAAGCTTTCTGTAGTTACACATCAACATATTTAAAAATCTATGACCCATCTTTGGTGAATAAAGTAACTTGCAGAAGAATGCATATAGGATATTAATTATAGAAAATTTTTAAAATATGAAAAATATGACACTTAAGAATTCATAAATATGTAATAAGATCAGAACAGTAGAGATAGAATTGACATAAGCTGTCAGTTGTTTTGGTATTTGTTTTTATAGTTTGATAGTAATATACAGGTGTTCATTTTTTTATCATACCTTTTTATATTCTTAAATATGTAATAAAAAATTTTGGGAAACATTATCTGAAATATTGTAGGTTGATTAAGACTGATTTAATCCATGTCTTGTTTATCCAAAAACCTATGGCCAAAAACCCACCATGCAGTGTTGCCCAAATCATTAATTCAAAACCCATATTTTTCTTGTTAGTTCTCCTGTTACATGCCATTCTGTTTAAATAACAGTAGAAAAGAAAATGCACTTCCTTATAATTATCTGAATTTTGAAAGTGGTAATTTATAATATTTTTTATGAATTAGGGGGAGGATTAATTGGAAGAAAAGGCTACATAGGCACACTGGGGAAAAATGACACAATGATGTGTGCAGTGTATGGATGGACTGAAGAGATGACTTTTTCTGGAACATCCACAGGAGATGTGTGTATCTGGAGAGATGTCTTTCTTGTAAAAACAGTTAAAGCACATGATGGGCCAGTGTTCAGTATGCACGCACTGGAAAAAGTAAGTAACCTAAAGAGATTTTTAAATTAAATATAATCTCATTATGGAATATAGAGCAATTTCAGAAGTAAAGGAACAGTACCTTTCTCCTTGGTTTAGCTGCCCAATTATACTGTGAGCTGGATTTTTTGGGGATTTGCTTTGTTCCTTTCTTCAAACTCCAGAACACAGAATAATGTAGATCTTATGTGTAAAAGAAGTATAATATTTATTAAGCACTTATTTTGTGTGAGAAATTATGCTAGAGCATTACATTTAATCACCAAATGCTGGCGTGCATCAGGACCCCACCGCCCAAGCCCCAGGAACTTCTCTGGCTGC